CCGAGCTGGGGGTGGGCCAGGAGCAGGCAGGCCGGGGACAGGAGCAGCGGCTCATGGTTCCCTTGTCTCCCCAGGAGTCTGGACTTGAGCAAGTTCTGCATTGGGCAGAAGGAGGAGCAGCAGCAGCCCATGTACGACCTGTATGCGGTAATCAATCACTACGGCGGGATGATTGGCGGGCACTACACGGCCTACGCCCGGCTGCCCAGCGACAAGAACAGCCAGCGCAGCGACGTGGGTGAGGAGCCGGGCTGGGGCCGCGCCCTGTCCAGGCCGGGGCTGTGCGGGCCGGGCGCTGACCCCGCTCTCCTCTCCCCGCAGGCTGGCGGCTCTTCGACGACAGCACGGTGACCACCGTGGACGAGAGCCAGGTGGTGACGAGATACGCGTACGTCCTCTTCTACCGCCGGCGGAACTCTCCCGTGGAGAGACCCCCGCAGGGGCGCCCCCCGGAGCACCGGCCAGACATGGCCGCCGCCGCCGAGCCGCCCGCCAGCCAGGTGAGAGCTGCGGCACCTGTGTGCTGGCTGGAGCAGTGCGGGTCTCCTGCCCATCTGCTGAGGGCTCCGGGCAGCCGCTCGCCCATCGGGAGGCTTTGAGGGAGAATGGGGGGTGCAGCCACAGGCTGGGGCTTGGCATGGGGTGCCGGTGGGCAGGCACCATGGTCCAAGGGGTCCGGGACGAGTGAAGCCGTGTCATGAGAGGAGCTGGGGAGCCCGAGGGGTGGGGCAGGCGAGGGGGCAGCAGGGCCCTTCCATCCTCAGGGCTGCACTGCGGGGAGCCAGAAGGCCCCTGTGAGAGTTACGGAGCCTGAATCCCTGGTGACCCCAGTGAGGGGTCGCCCTGAGCGAGCAGCTGGGATGCCGAGGTGGCACCCAGCTGTGGAGAGGGCTCAGCCGGCAGCCCCTGCAGCGGGGCAGGAGGTGGAGGAGCCTGCAGGGAACCCTGAAAGCAGCCGGGGAGAAGCCGGCCTGCCTAGCACAGCGCTGGGGATACAAGGCTACGCGCCCCTGGAGGGGCAGCCGCTGCTGCGGCTCTTCGCGTGGCTCCAGGTTCCCCTTCCTGGCCTGTGCACCACTACTCAGAGACCCGCCGGCCCCGTGTGACCCCGCTGGCCTGCCAGGAGATGGCGCCACTCAGCCAGGCTGCCGGCCACCTGCTCTTGCTGCCCCCTTGCCCGGCGTGGTCTCGGAGGGGTGCTTTCCAGATACTCGCTTGGCTTGGCGCCCGGCTGGCTCCTTGCCTGGTTCCTCGCCCAGCTGGGTCTAGCTCACCTCAGCTCCTCGCATGGGGCTCCGTGGTCGGGGCCTGGAGCGGCTGCTGCAGGCGGGAGTCCGGCTGGCTGCGTGGCTCCTGTCCTGGAGCACCGCGGGCCCTGTGCTGAGCAGGCCCAGATCTGTGGGCGCAGCAGCGGCTAAGGAGGGGAACTCACCCAGTCTCTGCGGATCAGCGACGGCCAGGGACCCTCTCGCCAGCTGGAGGCAGGGCAGGGGAGCAGTGCGAGGTGCGCGCTGGGGCTGCCTGCAGGGGGCAGCATGCAGCTGCTCGGATTCCCATCTGCAAGCAGCAGGAGGCGCCAGGCTGCTCCCCTAGGTCACCGCCGCCATCCTGGGCACTCGGTGCCCACCTATAGAAACCGAACTGTGACTGGCTGCTCCAAGCTCTCCTGTGGCTGCAATTGGCCATCCCTGGGAATAATCCTCCTGTGATTGGCTGCCGTCTGACTGATTCTTGGTTCCCACCTCAAAAGCTGGGCTCTGACTGGCTGTCGTCTGACTGATCCGCTTGTATTTGGCAAATCTGGGCTGTGATTGGCTGGCGCCTGTGCCCCGCGCTCCTGGAGCCGCTGGTCTAGGATTACGCAGTCACTGCTGGGTGCTGGGAGAGGCCATCCTGCAAAGCCAGCCCCAACTGGCCGCCGGCCTGGCTCCTCGGCTCACCCCGAGCCCGTCTCTGCCTGCTGCTGGAGCCCAGCGCGGGGCCCGCTGGCTGCCCAGATCACAGGCTGCGAGTGCTGGGGACCTGGGAGGCTGGCTGGCCGCTCCATGGCCACGCTGCGCCTGGTGTGGGATGCGAGGCGGGTTGCTCAGTATGTTCTCCCCAAGTGCTGACGCAGGTTTCCACATCGCAGGCTTCTCTGATCTGGCAGGAACTGGAGGCCGAAGAGGAGCCCGAGGCTGGCAGGAGGCATGCCAGGACTCCCTGCCGGCGCCGCGGCCAGACGGCGAGCCAGGCCGCCCGGCAGCACCCTGACGAAGGCTGCCTCCGCTACGTTGTGCTGGGCACCATGGCCGCCATTATGGCACTCTTCCTCAATGTCTTCTACCCCCTCGTCTCCCAGAGCCGCTGGAGATAGGCGCTGGCAGGGCAGCGGCTAGCCCAGCCCTGCACGGTTCCAGCCGCCCTGGTGAGGGCTGCTCTGTGCCCAGGGCATTGGGACACCTCGCCAGGGAGGTGCTGGAGTGACCAGGCCTGCTCGCGACCATGGAGCCCTCGCCGGGCAGCCTTCCTTGCAGGATCCCGCTCTGCAGCATGCTCGGCCCGGCTCCTGGGGAGCGGGGACTCTCCAGGCTGCAGCCCTCCGGCAGCACGTGCTCTGGGGTGCAAGCAGCCGAAATGGCAGACCAGCGGAGCGCAGCTGGGGCTGGTGCAGCACCTCCCTGCGTGGGTCCCCTCTACTGCAGAGCAATCTCCCTCGTGCTAGCCGTGGGCTCTGCTCCTGGCACGCTGGCGTGGTGCTGCCTCCGGCCCCGTCACACAGAGTCATTTGGGCTCATGCCCGCCGGACTTGGCTGCCTCCCTGACGATTGGCCCGCTGGCTGTGGCCTCGTGACTAATAGTCCCCAGTGTGCAGCAGGTCTGCCTGCTCCGCCCCGCCCCTCCGCTCGCCCCCGTGTGCCGGCCGGGAGACCCACGGTCCAGCTGAGTCCAGAACGAGCTGGTGGGAGGTGGGGGCCAGTCTCCCTGCGCCTGCCTGGGGACAGGCGCGTGGGAAAGCGCGCCCGGCGCTGGGCCCAGGGAGTTCCTGCCAGGACGGCAGCAAAGGGCCCTCGTTGTGTACTGTATGGACCATATGAATAAACCGGGCTGTTCCAGCCATGCAGTGCCCGTCTCCTTTCTCTGCGCCAGGGAATGACTCGCCAGGGGCCGAGGGAACAGGCACCAGATCCCCCCATCTCTGCCGTAGTCGCGCCACTGTGTGCCGCACTCTGCTCAGCCGTCCTTGGGCTGCTCCTCACGCCCGTGCCGCTGCCCAGCCTGTGGGGGAGCCTGCGCTCACGACTCTGCCAGGAGCCCGCTGGCCCCGCTTCTCATGCCGAACGCTCCCCCACTCCGAGCGAGCCTGAGAGCTGCACGGCAGAGCCAGCCCAGGCAGGTGGGCAACGGGCTCCGAGCCTGCGTGCGCTGGGCTGGGGGGCAGAGAAGCCCTGCTAACGCTGCAGAGCTGTGGGCTAAGCTGGGAGGAGTTTGATGTGCAGAGTGGCGCTGTGGGACAGAGGCGGGTCGCTCAGCGTGGCTCGGGGTGCATGGATCTGTCCAGATTTCTGCACTGCGCCCCCGCCCGATGCAGCCCAGGCAAGTCGTCTGGTGTAGGGTGAGGCGGCCCCTACGGCAAAGACCTGGCCATCACCCACCTGCGAATGCAGCCCCGCGGCCCCAGAGTAGAGCCCACTGTCGGCCGAGCCCCCCGCCCAGACTGCCTGTGCACAGCCCCTGCTGGCGGGGGTGGGCGAGCCCCGGCTCGTGCTCCGGAGCATCTGGAGCAAGATGGGGGCGCAGCGCACAGCAGATCTGGCCTGGGACGGGCCATGCCCTTGGCGCTTGGTTGGCTTCGCAGCCTTGGCTCCGCACTGCGGTGTGGCTCCCTCGCCAGGCTGGGGCTTTGCCTTCTGCGCTGTTGGCAGCCCAGACACAACGCGGGGCGCCTGGCAGTGTCTGCTGCTTGTGGCCTTGGCTGGCTGGGTGGGGAACACGGGGCTCTGGAGTCTGTGAGGGAGACCCCTGCCAGCCGAGGAACGCTGCACCGGCCTCTCAGGGTTTCTGGATTCCGGCCCAGCGCTGAGCCGTGGTTCCTCTGTCCTCACGAGGAGGAAGAGGCAGGGCTGGGGCAAGTCTCCGCCCTGGCACCCGCCCCTCTGGGTCTCGGGCCTGGTCAGTACAGGTTCGAAGGACCTGCCATAGGGGGAAGCGACAGGTCTGCATCAGTAGGAGCTGTAGGGTCTTGCTCTTGGCCTGTGGCTTTGGCTGATCCCCACCCAGCTCTGCTAGAAAAGAGAGGGAGGGCCCTGCAAGCTAGTGCCGGGCGGCCCCGTGGCAGGGAAATTGGTGCTGGCACTGCCCACGTGGCTCCATGGGCAGCTACCAGCAAGCCGAGGGGTGGGCTGGAGAGCGTGCTCACACCGTGGCGTGGCCAAGAGAGATGGACGCCCGCGCTGGGCCTCTGCACTCTTGCCCTAGCCAAAGGAGTGAGGTCCTGGCAGCAGAGATGGCTGGAGCCCCCGTCACATAGCTCAGCAGGGCCTAGCATGCCGCTTCCCCCCACGCCCGAGCCTGCCCCTCCCTTGGGGGTCTCACGAGGCAGGCCGTGGGGATGGGATCCTGGCTCCCGCTCTGCTCTTTCCTTGGCACTGGCCGAGCTCCTGTGGGGATGTCACAGCAGGCTGGAGAAACCCATGAGCAGGCAGGAGCCGCCTGCCTCTGATCCCATGAGCCTCCCGGGAGTCGCCCCTCAGGCAGCCCTGAAGAAGCACCAGGGGACGCGGCCCCAGCGGGGTGCTCTGGATCACGGGGGGCAGCCATCTGTCAGAGTCCAAGGCCGCAAGGGACCATTGTGATCATCTCGTCTGATCGCCGAGAGCAGATCCCTGAGGAAAACGTCCAGGCTTCAGTGCTGAAGTTCCAGGGGTGGAGAATCCACCCTAACAACCCCTGGGAACCTGTCCCAACAGTTACTTCCTCTCCCTTGTTTCCCGTCGGACTTTGTCTAGCTTGAACTGCCAGCCCCAGGATTGTGTTAGACCTTCCTCTGCCGGAGCCAACAGCCCATCGCCCACGATCTGTTCCCGTGGGGCAGGGACAGGCCGGCTCGTGGGGGCGCTCACCAGACTGAGCCCCTCGCCCCTGTCACTGCAAGGCAGGTTTCTAACCCTTTCATCATCTCCTGGCTCTGCTCTGAGCCCTCTGCCATTTATCAATGTCCTCCTGACCTTGTGGGCACAGACCTGGACCCAGGACTCCCCAGCGGTCACACCCAGGCCAGATACCGAGGCAAAATCCCGTCTCTGCTCCTCCTCCAGATTCCCTCTTTATACATCCCAGGATCACATTCGCCCGTTTGGCCACAGCGTCCTGTTCGAAGCTTATGCTCCGTGATTATCCACCAGGACCCCCAAATCCTGTTCAGAGGTCCTGTTCCCAGGACAGAGCCCCCGGCCTGAGAGTACGGCCGACACTCGCTGTTCCTAGATGGATACACTTACCTTTCGCTGTAGGCAAATTGATATTGTCTGGTTGAGCCCAGTTTGCTCTGTATCACTGACTTTCTCTCATTATTTGCCACTGCCCCAATGTTTGTCATCTGCAGACTTCCAGTGATTTCGTTTTCTTCCAGGGCATTGACAAAAACATTAACTAGCGAAGGGCCAAGAACCGCTCCCTGCAGGACCCCACCGGAAACACCGATGGTTCCCCACATGCAATTCCACATTGAGACCTATCAGTGAGCCAGCTTTTAATCCATGTAATGTGGGCCACGGTAACTCTATAGCATTCTAGTCTGTTGATGAAAATGTCGTGCAAGGCCAAGTCACATACCTTACCGAAGTCTGTACATCAGCGCTATTGCCTTGATCCATCAAACTTGGAATCTCATCAGAAAATCAAGTTAGTTTGACAGGATGTTTTCTACAAACCCATATTGACTGGCATTAATTACACGATCCCCCTTTAGTTCTGCATTAATCGAGTCCTGTAGCAGCCGCTCCGTTATCTTGCCCAGGATCGATGTCAGGCTGACAGGCCTATAATTACCCAGGTCATCCCATTTACCCTTTTTAAAAATTGTTACACCATTAGCTTTCTTCCAGTCATCTGGAACTTCCCCAGTGCTCCAGGACTTCTAGAAAATCAGCATTAACTGTCCAGCAAGCTCGTCAGCCAGCTCTTTTAAAACACTTGGGTGCAAGTTATCTGGACCCGCTGATTTTAAAATGTCTGACCTTAGTAACTTCTGTTCAACGTCCTCCAGAGATACTAGTTTGTGGGCAGTAGCAGCATGTCTTCACGAAGCAAAGGTTGTAAAGGACTCCGAGAGCAGGGTGTGAAACGCCATCAGAAGGTGCTTTGCGATAATATCGAAGATATTACCAAGCCGGCTGGTGGTTGCTTGGTTCAGACTGGGGGGGACCTGCCGGGTGCTGAAAGTTTTCTTGGGAATGTGATCCATGATGCCGTCACTTACACTGACCATGCTAAAGGGAAGACGGTGACGGCCGTGGACGTGGTTTATGCTCTGAAATGACTGTCGTACTTTCTGCGGATTCAGTGGCTAAGCCTTTCTCCTGCTTTACCTTTAAAACCAAACCAGCCGGAGAGAGGAGTGGCATGGGGGGAGGAGGAGGAGTCTGCGTTCACAGTGTTTTCCACCAAACACCGAGCAGAGATATTGATACACCTCCTCTCCCTTTTCTGCGTGTTTATTGCGAATTCTACCATGTCCCTCTAGTAACGCACCAGGACCATTGTCAGGATTCCTTTGGTCCTAATACACTTCAACTCCTCCTTATTGTTCTTAACTCTGCTGGCCATAGATTTCTCCTTGTGTCCCCTGGCTTCCCTTACCAAGTTTCCACAGTTCCGAGCTTCTGATTTATATTCATTACCTTCAACTGCCCCTTTCTTCCATTTGTTGTGTAGGTTTTTAAAATTTATATCCTAGAAAGAGTTGCCTCCACTTCCCCTCTGAACGAGGTTGGAGTCTTAACCAACGCAGCCTCCTTCCTTGCGTGTGGCTTTTTGAGCGGCCAGGCCAGTGCTGAGAAACCATTGCCGATGATCAGTCACGTTTCTTCCTCCTGGCTGCTTGGCTCAGACGTGGTTGCAGCTTTGTGACCTTGGTCCTTTTAAAGCACCGTGTGTCTGTCTCCCGGAGCGGGACTTGCCCCTCAGTTAACGTGAATGCTGTGCTCAGGGGTCAGTCCCCCTTTCTCTGGCCAGGCCCGGCCTAATGTCGGATTCCCACGGGTTGGATACAACGCTTGGAGTGAGGAAATTGCCCTCTCATGCTGGCGTGGCTGTTCCGAGGGCGCCCCCTGCTGGCGGCGTGCTGCCATGACGGCCGTGTGCCCGAGCCCCTCCTCCTTGTAGGGGGCCCCCCCAGGGCTCTTCCTTGAGCACCCTCCTGCTGCAGTGCTGGCTGGCTGGCTCCTCAGCCCGGGTCCCACCCCCTCCTGGGAGCGCGGCGCTGGCATGGCCTGGCTAGGAACAACCCTCCCGTTGTCGGCTCAGGCTCCCTAGAGCGGTGCAGGGAGGCGTGGCTGCAGCTCAAGCTGGACAGGGCTGCCCGGTCTGTGCCTGCAGGAGAGCGTGGGCCTGGCCCTGGCACCAGCTGGGCATCCGGGCACAGCTGCCCTGCTGCAGACAAGGCGACCTCCCCGCCCGCGTGCAGGGGCCTCTGCTGCTCGCTCAGGCAGTGGAGGAAGCTGGTGGAGTGGAAGGTGCCGGGAGGTGCCGCTGGCTCTGGGGCCCTCGGCGTTGCTGCTGCCTCCTTGCCATGTTCTTGGGACGCCTGCTGCTGTGCGAGGCGGCTGCTGTCGGCACTCAGGGCTCGCTGCCCCGGCCTGCCGTCCACATGGGTGTGTGTACACACACCCGCTGTACACGTGTACACACACACGCACCTCTCTGGGCTGGGGCCGTGCTCTGAGCCCCGCTGGGGCCCTCACCCTGCTCAGTAACGCTGCTGCCCGGGGGGACGGGGGGAGGATAGGAGCTAGTCTGGGCCTGGCCCTGCACCATGGGCATGAAGGGGTGAAGGGAGGGCTGCCCCCTCTGACCTCCTTGTTCTGTTTGCAGGGCATGAACCCCGTGTCGTTCGGCTCCAGCGTCGCCCCCGAAGGAGGCCCCCCGTTGTCCCCTGCCGGGCTCCCGGATCGCTTTGCCAGCCCTGCAGAGTGCCCCGCCCCCTCCTACAGCAACATGGAGGAAGTCGACTGAGGCGCAGCTGGCTGCTGGCGGGGTGGATGTGCAAGGGCCTGTTCTGTGGCTTCCCCCCTCCTGCCCTTTGCTGGGGGTCCCTGCCTGGCCCTTCTCAAGCACTTTCCTCTCGGCCCCTGCACGCTGCCCTGCTGGGTAACGGTTTCATTGGCTGCCAGGCAGGGGCAGGGATAGGAGAGCCCAGAGCTGCATGGACTGTGGGGGCCTGGGGCAGCTCGCTGGGGATCACCTGGCCCCAACCCTCCATCAGCCTGTGGCCCAAATGGGGACAGAACCTGCTGCTCCTTTGCGGGGCTGGGGTTGGGGTTCCTCCCTGCCCCCCAGGGCCTGGCAGCTCCCTGCGATGGTAGTTGGCAGGGTGGGTGTGGGGCAGCCTGGGCACTGCCCTCAAGGGCAGGCTCCCTCTCCAGGGGCTGGGCTGCCGGCCCGGGGCCCAGGCAGGGCCTGCCTAGGGTGGCGTTGCCCGCTCCTTGTGTTGCTGTTGCCAGCATCCCCGTGGTGCCCATGCAGCAGTGGGAGCCTGGCACGGGGGGGTCGCAGCCCGGCCCTGCTCCATTCTGCCAGCTCAGGCTGGACCGGGTGAGAGGAAGGCAGGTGCCTCTGCGAACGGGCGCTAGAGCCAGTGGCTGGGGCAGCCTGGATGGGCACATGCCCTGGCCCAGCAGCCCCTCCCCGGGGCGTGGGCCCCCTCCCCATTCTCCGGTGCATTGGCGCGTTCTCTGGAATCTCGTTCTCTGGCCCCTGGCCCTCGACTGCTGCTGTCTCCCCCGATTCTCCCCGGGCGGAGCCGCTGCCCCCTCCCGCCAGCCGCTGCTCCCCCTCACTTTGTATAAAGTTGGTGTTTGTCTTGAGTCATTAAATTCTACTGAACTCTGCCTGGGGCTGTGGGGCCCGTATGTGGGGTGCTGGGCCTGGCCACCCCATGGGGGGTGCTGCCCTGGGCCTCTGCCCACCTGGAATTGCAGTGAAATGCCCTCGCTTGCAGCAGCGGGCCAGGCCTGAGTCGGGCAGCAGAGTGCCAGCCCTGAGGGTGTGGGGGGGCAGAGAGAGAGCCCTGCAAAGCCGCGGTGCCCATTTCCACAGGGCTCTAGGCATCAGCCAGAGTGGGGCCAGGGCAGGGAAAGGGTGGGGCAGGCCAGGAGAGGGGGCGGGGCTGGAGGGGTGGGGGTAGGGCAGGGCAGAAGGGATTGGGCTAGTGGGGGATGGGCAGGAGGAGTGGGGGCGGGGTTGGGCTAGCAGGGGATGGGCAGGAGTGGGGCTGGGATAGGGTGGGGCAGGCCAGGAGAGGGGGTGGGCTTGGGCTAGCAGGGGGGGGGCAGCGTATGAGGAGTGGGGCCAGGGCTGGGCTAGCGGGGGATGGGCAGGAGGAGTGGGGACGGGGTTGGGCTAGCAGGGGGGGCAGGGTATGAGGAGTGGGGCCGGGGATGGGCTAGCGGGCGCTTGCCCCACACACTTTCGCAGTCCTGCAGCCGGTGGGGGTGGTGCCAGTGGGCCGCGCGGCTGCAGCAGCTGCTGGGACTTGGGGCCCGGGACCCCCATTCGCAGGACTGGGAGCAGCGATGGCTGCTGCGGGGCGCGGTGCCAGCCCCCCACGGGCGAACAGAGCCAGCCCAGTGTGATGATGCTGTTCTGGCGGAACCCAACTGAGAGTGCCAACTCAGGACAAATTGCTCAAACAGGGCAGTTACAGCCCTAGGCAGGGGTTTTTCCACCTCTAAGGCCTGGTCTACACTAGGACTTTAATTCGGATTTAGCTGCCTTAATCCGAATTAACCCTTCACCCGTCCACACTACAGAGCCAGTTAATTCGAATTAAAGGGCCCTTTAAATCGATTTCTGTACTCCACCTCGACGAACGGAGTAGAGCCTAAATCGATTTTGTTAATTCGAATTAGGGTTAGTGTGGACGCACACCACCGAATTACTGTGTTTAAGTTAATGGGGTAGTGTGGCCGCACACCACCGAATTAATGTGGTTTAAAACCGAATTAAGGTGCTTAGTGTGGCCGCGCACAATCGAATTTATACAACCTGTTTCCCAAATTCGAATTATCTAAATTCGGATTAATCCTGTAGTGTAGACATACCCTTAGGCAAACCAAACCAGCCAGACTAAGAGGACTTCGGTCTCACCCCACTGGCTAACCGCAAGTCTCACAAGCAATCTCCTTAGACACTCCAGTTTCCCAGTATCACCACCAGTGCCACTCGTTATGGGGACAAATGGTTATGAAAACCAACACCCCAGTAAAAGAAAAAGGTTCTCCTGATCCCAAAGGACCAAGCCCCAGTCCCAGGTCAATATACAAATCAGATCTTACCCACAAATCACGCTGTTGCCAATCCTTTAGAACCTAAAATCTAAAGGTTTATTCATAAAAGGAAAAAGATAGAGATGAGAGTTAGAATTGGTTAAATGGAATCAATTACATACAGTAATGG